TGCAAGTTTTAATGGTCGAAATTTTTTGTAATATTCAAAACAGAATAGTTTAACCAAGTCATAGCTACTCAAGTCAACTAAATCTGAAAATGTCGCCTTCCCGTTTGGCACAGCAGATGGAGCTTTTGAACATTAGCTCCTTGGAGACAGTATTTTTTGGAGAGGAGATGGAGGATGACATCCATCCTCAATCACCAGCTGTTGGCTCAGCGGCATCTCCAACACCATTATTCACGATGGCTTTTCAGGAAAGGCTAGAGGAGTTTTTGCCGAAACCTGACTTAATATTTTTTGGAGAGGAGATGGAGGATGACATCCATCCTCAATCACCAGCTGTTGGCTCAGCGGCATCTCCAACACCATTATTCACGATGGCTTTTCAGGAAAGGCTAGAGGAGTTTTTGCCGAAACCTGACTTAATATTTTTTGGAGAGGAGATGGAGGATGACATCTATCCTCAATTACCAGCTGTTGACTCACCGGCATCTCCAACACCATCATTCACGATGGCTTTTGAGAAAGGGCTAGAAGAGTTTTTGCCAAAACCTGACTTAAGTTCAGAAAGTGGTTGGGTCATGACGTTTTTCGGTAAGTCTATAATATTTTACATTATTCTTAAAAATGAATTACATAATTTTTCTGAGTATCAGTTGCAAGTACTCAAAAGATAATGTACTACTTATTAATAATTTTATTCTGTTATAAAATATTAAATTTGTTTAGACCTTGAGAATAACTTTTTCACAAGCTCACCGTGGTCAAATTTCGCTGCTGAGGTCCCTCTAGATCAGATAGAGGTCGAAATGGTACCTCTCTCAAGAGAAAACGTATTTTTGACGGAGTTGGAGAAGATGATGGACACGTATGAAGGGGGCACTTTGTTTGTTGGTAAAATGTAAAAAATTTTAATATTCATTTTCATTTTTTTTTCAAATATTAAGTATTTGTAATAATAATTTATAATGTCATTCTAATTTCAGAAAATAACGTGTCAGCGCCAGTTATCGGCCTTATCCAATCGCCTGCAATTAATAGATTGATACCCGAGATCGACCTGACATCTCCTGTCGTCAGGTCAATTCCGGAGATAGATCTAACATCTTCGGAGATTGACCAGTCGATTCCTCTTGTAGACCTCACATTACCTCGAATTGATGATGTTAACTCATCGCCATAAATCGTCTATGAGGTGAAAAACAAGAGAAAGAGGTTTGAGAAAGAAAGCGAGGACATGCATAAGACAAAAAAAGTTTGTCGTAAGCTTTCGTTTTAATAATGTATTATTAAATTAAAAGATTTAAAAAAATCTACATAGTAAGCTAAATTAGCCAAGCATAAATTTGTATATTTATAAAATATATTCGTAACAAAATAAACTAACTTAAAAATAAACAAATGTTTCAAAATTCAATTTCCTTAAGATTCCCAATCCTACATTGCATGTCAACAAATTATGATTCATAACAGATAAATTATAAAAAATGTATTGATAACAAAAAAAAGATTAAAGCAACGCTATGCAAGCAAACTCAAGCGGCAGTTCAGGAGATTTCTACAAAAAAGTTAAGCTTCAACATAGACTGCAACTTTCTACAAGAAAGTTAAGCTTCAACATAGATTGCAACTCTTGAAATTGCGCTTAAGGGACTTCATGCAACCCAAAGACTTATACAAGCATGTGCTCTACACTTTAAACCAATGTATGAAAGCGAACGCTTAAAAGTAGAAATTACATAAAACAAAAGTATAAAACCATAAATTCTTACTTTACAAAAGTAGAAGCGTTTCTTTTTCTTCGAAAAGGATTAATCAAGTCATTTCATGTTTTAAAAGTAGGAATTATATCTCGAGAGGGCCCTATATCATATTTGCAGCTTGAGTATACTCTCCACACGTTGGGGTGCTCTACGGGAAGAAAGCAAGATTCCGCAAAACTCAAGCAGCGCGTGCGGCGGTCAATCAAGTAACAGCAGCAGTTTGGGGGGTTCTCGTTCGGACCACTCTCGAGCATACTTGCCGCAGCTCGGCCCTGGTTGCTGCATGTCAGGGACAAAGGGGGGAAGTGAGCCACAACCGCAGGCGGTTTTGGCTCAGTTGAACCAGAATCGCCACTGTTTATCTACCATTATTGAATATTTATAATAATATGACATGATATTTTCATACTTAATTATAAGCTAACGAATAGTCTTACAGAACATTTAAACCGTGGACTTTGCTTGTAGCCCTATTTACCACGAAAAGATAGACATCATCTTTCTTCCATTGTTAAATATGTCAAATATTGTAATAAAGTTCACCCTTCAGTCTTGATTCTAAATAATGCGCAACATACAATAGAAAACAATTCCTGTGTAATAGTATTTTTGCATTGTCTAAAAATTTGATATACATATTATTTCAATACGCATGTGTTCATATTCTTATGTAATATTTTAATATTACAAACNATAATTTTAAAAATGATTTAAAGATAGTAGACGTAACTTTTGCATGATATCTGCAATACACGCTTACTATTTAAAAATGAATTAAAAACTGTAGGAGAAAATTTCCGTCAATTGCTTTCTGTTATAAAAAATAATTATAGAAGTATGGTTATATGGGGTACTATAAGGTAATCATTTATTTGGAGCTCTTTTTATATTTCAAAATTAAATACAAACATTTGTTCGGTTAATGAATATTTTTCTAAATTACTTTTAGAAATTGGAGAGGAAAATATAAAATCACTGATCATTACTGAATAATAAAAAGCCAATGATGTATGTTTAAAAATATTTAGTAAAAATCTGTATTAAATATTGTTATTCTGACTTATAATAATGAATACACTACTTTTTTAATAACAAAATTTTAGTTCTCATGAAAGTAAATAGGACAACTTATCATAGCATAGATCATGCCATACACAAGGGTGTCGATAAATCGGATGATAACATTTACATAAATTTCCCTCTTGAAATATTAAACAATATTTGTAAAGGTTTTCCACCGCATGAACAACATTTGAAAATATGTATGTTAATAAGTTAACAATGCAATAGTTGTATTAATAAGAAATTTGTGTATAGCAGATGGTTCATGCAATGGCACAAAAATGAAGATTTAAATAATATTTAAGTATAATATTTGAGCTCAAATTGTCACAGGAAAAAAAAATAGAGTATTTATACCAAAAATCACTTTAAATACAGGTAAATACCGCGACGTTTACTTTTATCCTTAACAGAAAGCAATTTTCTATAGTCTTTGCATACGCTATAACAATTGACAAATCCCAAGGAATAGTTTCAATGAAGTCGGTATATACTTAAAAAAGCCAGTATTTTCTTATGGACAACTATACTTATCATTATCAAGATGCAAAACTCAAGAAGCGATATTGAAGCAAATTGAACGTAAAAATAATTAGGACTGAGAAAATATTATTGGGTAAGAAATTTTCGATGAAAAAAAGTACACTTTTTAAAAGAAAAAAAATTAACGAATAGAAGGTTATCACATATATTATAATTATGTTATTAAGAAGTAGCGTATGACACGGTATGTGAATATTTTATCATGTTACAATTTTGTTACAATTTGATTCAGGATAACTATTTATAATATAACCTAAATAAGATCACTCTTTTGATTTTTTTTACCAAAATTGGTTTATTTTTGTGCTTACTTTGTATGCGTATTAAGCAACAATGATTTAAAAAAATTAAATTTTAAGATTCTGTACTAAAAATCTGATGTTATAAAGTTAGAGTTATCTATAAAATGATAACTTTTACGAATTTTATAGTTATTTTTTAACTTGTATTCATAAAAAGGAATAGGTGTTAGACGAATAGGTTCTTACAGAAACTAGTGGACAGTGAGTGCTTGGGTACCCAAGTATGAAATTATACTTCTATGAAATTATTTGGCAACCAATATAATTTTAAGTATAATAATACTTTCTATGAAACAATATTGTGTACGAAGGTGGTGCAACTATTGTGGGAATGAGTATACCTGCGTTGATTGGGTGTGGTATTAACTAATATGTAATGAGTTGATGATTATAAACAATATATTACGGCACAATACAAAAAAAATATATATAGCCTGGCCAGTCCAAAACTGTGCACTTTTATCGAATCTTCCGGTGGTTTTAGAACAACATTCTACTGCCTACACTGATTACATATGTAACATCACGCTCACATCTATCACGTACGATCCCACATTTATTTCTCGTCTATATTTAATACTCAAAATATAATTGTATATAGAAAATTAAGAAAAGCATGTATACGAGTACATCCACACAAAAAAAGGAATTGCTAGCTTTACTGCACACATTAGCGTTTCTGTCATTTCTCTGAACTTTCGCTCACAAACTATGTGAAGAACGTCCTTAAATCAAAAAACCACTTGAATCACAAATAAAAAATTTTTAAAAGAATAAAATACAACAAAAATTAATTATTGTGTTTGTACAGTACAAAAAAATTCTTTTTTAATTCTTGAAAAAATAGAAAAAATACGAAAAATTTGTGAGTTTTTAAAATAAAAAGAAATATTCTATGAAATGTATACATGTATAATTAAAAATTAAACATGAAAAAAAAATTAAGAAATTAAATTAAGAAGTAGCTCTTTTTTAAGACATAATATCAAACCAAATGTGACAACTAAATTCAAAAATTGCGCGATTTTGATACATTGACGAATCTCTTGTCGACCACGTCTTAGATTTAGCCAATACCATTAAAGATTCACGTTCCGGTCATGAAAATTTAAAAATAGCAAGTTTCTACAGCCGACAATTTCGCGAACTCTATCTTACTTTTTTTTCTATCCTTCTCTCACTCTTTATTGTTACGATTATGACTGTCTTTTTTCATGCACACCTTAGCGCTCGAGTACTAGGGATGATGCCCACGTCATTACAGTATCTTCAGAGGTAAGTCGAGAGATTTCGAGTGTCGATGCTAAAGAGTGTGCCAATGTTTCAGCACTAAACTATGGTGGCTAGCAAAGAAACTATGCACACGTTTCTTCTTGACTGGCGGCTCGTAGGCTCAGCTCACAGGAGAGCTGAGGGAAGGCAAGTGAGTGAGACATGAGAAGTTCAAATTTTTGCTGCATAAAATCAAAATAATTCTTGGATATTTTTTCACAAAGAATCCATTAAATTCTTAAAAATATGAAATCAATGACTTGATTCAAGAGAAAATAAAAAAAAGTATGGAATAATCATGAGACTTGCCTCGCAACACCTCCCAATTTTTCACAATTATAATTTTATGGTACTTTCGTGACAATTTTTTGATCTTATACTTTGGAATAATCAGAATAACTATATTTATAAAAAAATTTTGCGTCAAAAAGCATTCATTTTTTAGTGGCCCTTATGGTACTATACCCAATCTCATTAAGAAACAGGGGAGGTTTTCACTATGCCTCCGATGATATTGTGACAACCTGTAAATGTACTGAAAGTACTACTCGTGAATGTGATAATTTGTTTCGTGAAACTTTTTTTTTAGTATTATTTAATGGCACCATGCGTCGATTACAAGAGCATGAGTTTAACGACGACCATTTTTTCGAGGCAAATCCATTTAATCAAGAACCATTGATAAACCATAGAAGTCAAGTTATTGGTCTTATTATAAAAAAATTTAGGAAATTTAAATGAAAAAACTTTGAATCTTGGAGCATGGCTATTTA